CGAGTTACTTGATAACGCTTGTATATTGATGTTACATGTCATTGGAATGACAGTTTGAAGTTGTTAGAGCGTCGAAACACTCACAACGAAATTCTTTTTTTGAAATAACAACACTTGTTATTTGTTTTTGTCTTTGAAAAATGAAAGATGATGTAGAATCTTTGTAAATTCGTTATTGTACATGAAAAAATGAATAAAATGAGACCCATAACGAGTTTAACATCTTTATGATGTGTTATATGACGGATGCACGGTCGTTTAAGGCGCATTTGTTACGAAAAACAACTATAACTAATGAACATTCGTTATAGTTTTTTTTCGACCAAACCGGGCTTTCGTTACGGTCTTATTTTTTTCGAGTTACATTATAACACTTGTATGTTGATGTTACATGTCATTGGAACGATAGTTTGAAGTTGTTAGAGCGTCGAAACACTCACAACGAAACTCTTTTTTTGAAATAACAACACTTGTTATTTGTTTTTGTTTTTGAAAAATGAAAGATGATGTAGAATCTTTGTCAATTCGTTATTTTACATGAAAAAATGAATAAAATGAGACCCATAACGAGTTTAACATCTTTATGACGTGTTATATGACGGATGCATGGTCGTTAAGGCGCATTTGTTAAGAAAAACAATTATAACTAATGTACATTAGTTATAACTAATGAGCATTCGTTATAGTTTTTTTTCGACCAAACCGGGCTTTTTTTACGATTTCTTTTTTCGAGTTACTTGATAACGCTTGTATGTTGATGTTACGTGTCATTGGAACGATAATTTGAAGTTGTTAGAGCGTCGAAACACTCACAACGAAACTCTTTTTTTGAAATAACAACACTTGTTATTTATTTTTGTTTTTGAAAAATGAAAGATGATGTAGAATCCTTGTAAATTCGTTATTTTACATGAAAAAATGAATAAAATGAGACCCATAATGAGTGTAACATCTTTATGACGTGTTATATGACGGATGCACGGTCGTTTAAGGCGCATTTGTTACGAAAAACAACTATAACTAATGTACATTACATATAACTAATGAACATTCGTTATAGTTTTTTTTCGACCAAATCGGGCTTTCTTTACGCGTTTTTTTTTTCGAGTTACTTGATAACGCTTGTATGTTGATGTTACGTGTCATTGGAACGATTGTTTGAAGTTGTTAGAGCGTCGAAACACTCACAACGAAACTCTTTTTTTGAAATAACAACATTTGTTATTTGTTTTTGTTTTTGAAAAATGAAAGATGATGTAGAATCTTCGTAAATTCGTTATTTTACATGAAAAAATGAATAATACGAGACCCATAACGAGTTTAACATCTTTATGACGTGTTATATGACGGATGCATGGTCGTTAAGGCGCATTTGTTACGAAAAATAATTATAGCTAATGTACATTAGTTATAACTAATGATCATTCGTTATAGTTTTTTTTCGACCAAACAGGGCTTTTTTTACGGTTTTTGTTTCGAGTTACTTGATAACGCTTGTATGTTGATGTTACGTGTCATTGGAACGATAATTTGAAGTTGTTAGAGCGTCGAAACACTCACAATGAAACTCTTTTTTTGAAATGACAACACTTGTTATTTATTTTTGTTTTTGAAAAATGAAAGATGATGTAGAATCCTTGTAAATTCGTTATTTTACATGAAAAAATGAATAAAATGAGACCCATAATGAGTGTAACATCTTTATGACGTGTTATATGACGGATGCACAGTCGTTTAAGGCGCATTTGTTACGGAAAACAACTATAACTAATGTACATTACTTATAACTAATGAACATTCGTTATAGTTTTTTTTCGACCAAATCGGGCTTTCTTTACGTTTTTTTTTTCGAGTTACTTGATAACGCTTGTATGTTGATGTTACGTGTCATTGGAACGATTGTTTGAAGTTGTTAGAGCGTCGAAACACTCACAACGAAACTCTTTTTTTGAAATAACAACATTTGTTATTTGTTTTTGTTTTTGAAAAATGAAAGATGATGTAGAATCTTCGTAAATTCGTTATTTTACATGAAAAAATGAATAATACGAGACCCATAACGAGTTTAACATCTTTATGACGTGTTATATGACGGATGCATGGTCGTTAAGGCGCATTTGTTACGAAAAATAATTATAGCTAATGTACATTAGTTATAACTAATGATCATTCGTTATAGTTTTTTTTCGACCAAACAGGGCTTTTTTTACGTTTTTTTTTTCGAGTTACTTGATAACGCTTGTATGTTGATGTTACGTGTCATTGGAACGATTGTTTGAAGTTGTTAGAGCGTCGAAACACTCACAACGAAACTCTTTTTTTGAAATAACAACACTTGTTATTTGTTTTTGTTTTTGAAAAATGAAAGATGATGTAGAATCTTCGTAAATTCGTTATTTTACATGAAAAAATGAATAATACGAGACCCATAACGAGTTTAACATCTTTATGACGTGTTATATGACGGATGCATGGTCGTTAAGGCGCATTTGTTACGAAAAATAATTATAACTAATGTACATTAGTTATAACTAATGATCATTCGTTATAGTTTTTCTTCGACCAAACCGGGCTTTTTTTACGGTTTTTTTTTTTCGAGTTACTTGATAACGCTTGTATGTTGATGTTACGTGTCATTGGAACGATAGTTTGAAGTTGTTAAAGCGTCGAAACACTCACAACGAGACGCTT